GGGCTACTTTTGTGCATTGCTTGCCAATGACGTATTGCGTGAACTTACGTGACCTATATATTAACAGTTCTGTTGTTTTTATTTTGCGGTCGTATAATGTTATGATGTTGTCAGCGTAGACGTAGTCGTCGTCATCAGAAGACATTTGGTTTCCAGACACTAACTGAGGGGGCGGACAGGGGGTACCTTTCTCCCTTCTCCCGCCCCTTTTCTCCTTTCTCCCGCCCAATTTCTCTTGACTCCCTCCCTAAAACATGCAAAACTAATGTATAGGAAGCTCATTTTAAAAGAAATCGATCAAATGCCTTGTTTTTTATGGCCCGTCCCTGTCTTATCCTTTCACAAGATAGAAGTGCTGTTTCTTCTACTTCAAGAACCTCAATAACTTTTTCACTGACTTATATAATTTTAAGGAAAAGAATATGGGATATGATTTGGCTAAAATGCATAGTACAAGCAGCCGTGGAAAATCAGGCAGAAAATGGTTTGTTGGAGTGGAATTAACAAAGAAGAATAATTAAATTGTCTTTGAACTTGGTTATTTTGCCGCACAACTTTCCCTATGTTCCAAGTGTAAACAGTTTCTGAATATTATAGGACTGTACAGAAAATATGGTTGCGGAAGCTTGTAAAAAATAAATTGCCAACACTGTAATCGTATAAGCGCAGTTTACACGGGACAGCAACATCGGAATGAGGAAAAGGTTAACAAAGGCTTCACATTTTGAGATGTCAAGACTTAAAGGGGCACTAGCTGTCAAATTCATGTTCACCGATTTGACTCAAATTCTCATATTTGTTTTATAACAATGTAAAACATTTATCCAAATTATAAAAAGTCTAAAATAAACAGTGTACAAGGCATGGGCATCATAATATGTAGCTTCGTTTTGTGTGTATTTTAGTTTAGACGTCATCTAATTAACTATCGAGTTGACCTCCCGAATACCACCGATGCCCATATTAGCGATATAATATAAATAGATAGCGGAACTCGTGAAATTGGATTCTTCTAGGTCTTTTTAATTTCGTCATTTTTACCTGTATAAGAATGATTTGTTTGAGGATCGAATCAGTCAATCAAATGATTTACCTTTGTTCCACTTTCAATGTTGACATTCTTTTCCTTTAAATAATCAAACACGCACACAATTCATGCGTTATCCATCTCTAGCTAAGGGGTTGAATTGAAGTTCACATGAATACGGATTCAATGAGGTCGAATTATTTGCAAGTGAATAATTCATCATCAATGTTTCTTAGTTTATTTTGACAAAATTGGACCATACTGGCTACTAAAAGCGAATTATTATTCCACTATTTCACTTTCATTAATGTTTGAACAAAAAAAATCATATTTTATATTTTTATGTATCTCGTAGCTAGTGCCCCTTTAAAACGACAGAAACAAACTGAAACTAGACAAAGTGATGCCCCCGCACTCCACTCTGAAGTAACTGTATTATAACAAAGTCAATGTAGGACTTTCTTTGAGATATTATTGTGTCTGGGAGTCACAATTGATGCCCCCGCAGATGCAAAGTGTTATTTCAAAATAACTATAACGTTTAACCGCTTATACTCCAAAAATGACAAAGTTCAACTATCTCCTAAAAGAGCAAATATCAATAAAAATCAAAACCCTGACCACATGCACACCTTCAATATATGTACAAACAGCCAGCGTGAAAACTTCCTAGCATTCAACCTGTAGGAGGAGTTATCTGGAAACGCTTCTCTTATGCAAGTAAATACTCCAAAATATGACAAAGTTCAACTTTCTCCCAAAAGAGCAAATATTAATAAAAATCAAAACCCTGACCACATTCACACCTTCAATATATGTACAAACAGCCAGCAAAGTGAAAACTCCCTAGCATTCAAACTGTAGGAGGAGTTATGCGGAATAACTATATAATGGGACGGACGGACGGACAGGGGTAAAACAATATGCTCCCAAATTTTAAGTTAAGGGGGCATAAAAACTGACATTTTAACATCATTTTGATTTAGATTCATGTTAATTTACACTTGGGTGTACGGGGATGGGTGTGTTTTGTTGTTTGAATTGGACATGATGTACAATTGAGATTTCCCAATTACATTCCACTATGAACTGCTTATTGAAAAATCTATTTTGTCACCAAATGCCTTGTAAAATAGTCAGAACATAATCAAATACGCTTAATATATATTTTGATCCTTCGGCAAAATGCGGGGAGCATAATGTTGTACCCGTGTAAATTTGACCGCCCGTCCCTCACTTGGTATATAGCTAAGGGTTTATACAATTTATTTCTAAGTGCTATATTTTTTTAGCTACAACTTTACATTATATACTTGGTGTTAGTATATATATATACCAAAAGTGTGCATATTGTCAGGATTTTTTTTTTTTTAAATGACAGGTTGCTAAATTTGGCATTTTGAAAATATATAAAGGCACGCAGAGCACATAGTCCGACATACTCCTACAGTGTACAATTTCAAGGTGAAACTTTTATAATGCGCCGATTGTTTTACTTATAGAGGATGCATATATATTCTCAGGATTTTTTTATTGTATAACTTTTCTCGAATGACAGAATGTTGAACTTTGTCTTTTCAAATGTATTTTTGAAATACAGTTTGCAAGGTTTGTCCGCACAAAACCCACACGTTTACATCATACAGAGTATATACTATCTTAAAAATATGTATTATTTTATATATCACTTTTACAACTGACGGAATGTTTTTATTAGTAACCTTTTTTGATGGCTGCATTAAAAATGTGTCTTTTAGACACACCTATTTCAAATTGTATTGTATCGTCCTGAACATGCCTGAAATATTTGCCACCGGACATTTTGCAACCTCAAATCAATCAATTCAAATTGTACTTGAAAATCACTGTTTACTGAATCAAATTTATGAAGCACTTTATGCATGCATGGAAGTAGCGTTGGCATTATCTTTGTCTAGTTTGGTAGGGTTAAGTTGAAGATATTTTTTTTCTAAGCTGAATGTGCACCCAGTTAGTTCGAAATAAAGTAAAATCAGTAGAATTAATAGGAAATTTACGAAACCAGACAGGGGAGTGAAAACAAAATAACAAACACGTTTCAGATCCCGTTACATATTTTTTCAATACCTCTGAGTAAAAATAACTTTACTCTTTATTCACTGAGACTACTATAACACATATAGTCTCAGATATTCAGCAAAGTCATCCTTTATCTGCCAAATTCTATGCATATCGGTCAACTTTGATACAATTTATCTAAAAAACAAGGATGGTGACATGTGTCTCTATACATGCACAGACTCACTATAAAATCCTGGGAATTGTTAGTCTTTTAGTCTTTCTCCGTATAGACTCTATGAGAGATCGTAATGAATTAGTGACGACGCTCGGAGTATTTATGAGGTCGCTTTCGTTACTATGACATTTTATGAAATTTTATGCGACTGTCATACCAGTGAGAGGTTTGGCTAGCTAAAAATCCAGGTTTAATCCACCATTTTTTACAAAAGAAAATATCTGTACCAAGTCAGGAATATGACAGTTGTTATCCATTCGTTTGAAGTGTTTGAGCTTTTGATTTTGCCATTTGATTACGGACGTTCCGTTTTAAATTTTTCTCGGAGTTCGGTATTTATGTTATTTTACTTTTATTAGCACTTTCTTGAAGCTTTTTATTAACTAATTTAATAAGATAATTGTTTTCCAGGTAAATTTTAATAATTTTCATATACATTTTTGTCTCCTTTTTCTACCCCTTTTCTCCTTTCTCCTGTCCCTTCTCTCCTTTCTCCCGCCCACTCTCTCCTTTCTCCCACCCCCTCTCTCCCTGTCTCCCTTTACCCTGTCCGCCCCCTCCTAACTTAAGTATTAAATTGTACCACAAGGCTCCATACCAAAAAAAAGGACGATTGGGATTGATTAGGGGTAATTTCCTTACTGTTTAGGAATTAGGTGCCAAAAAGGGTACAAAAAAACAGCATGTTGCTTGTTTCAGGACAATATCTTGTGTATAAGTGTATGGATCTCCATGAAATTGTACCACAAGGTTCAATACTTCAAAAGGAAGGTTGGAATTGATTTCGGGGGTTATGGACCAAACCGTTTAGGAATAAGGCGTCAAAAGAGGGCCAAATTTTCTGGTTTATGCGGACATCAACTTGAGTATAAGTCTATGGATCTCTATGAAATTGTACCACAAGGTTCCATACCAAAAAAAAAAAGAAAGTTGGTATTGATTTTTGGGGTTATGGCCCTAACCGTTTAGGAAAAGGGACCAAATAACAATATTTTCTAATACTTAGTATACATTGCTTATTTCTTGACCAATTTTAATAGGGTTTAAATCAAAGTCTTCAATTCTTAGGGTTCTTTAATATGTTGAATATCACTGTGTACTTATATTTTGGATTATGGGCCCTGTTTTTAAATTGGTTCACATTGAGGTCCAAACGGTCCAAAATTTAACTTTGTTTGATTTCATAAAAAACTAAATTATTTGGGTTCTTTTATCTGGAGAATCTAAAGTGAAGTTAGATTTTTAATTTTGGGGCCTGTTTTCAAATAAGTGCACATTAAGTTCCAAAGGGTCCAAAATTAAACTTTGTTTAATTTCACCAAAAAATAATATGTGGGGTACTTTGATATGCCGAATCTATCCGTGTATTAAGTATTTGGATTTTGGGCCCGTTATTAAATTGGTCCACATTGAGGTCCAAAGGGTCCAAAATGAAACTTTGGTTGATTTCATAAAAAAATTAATTATTTGGGTTCTTTGATATGCTAAATCTAATCATGTATTTAGATTTGGGATATTGGACCATAATAGATTTCACCTGTCTGTTTCTTAGCCTCGTACACATGCAGTTTATATTTAAAGACATTAAACACTTATTGTCTGTTTACCTGTCGGTTTTACTGTCCACTGTAGGTATAGACAGTTTTTAAAATGTCTATTTATAGCTATTATAACTACCTGTACAACGTTTATATCGATTTTCTGTTGAAGTAAACAGTTAACCGACATTTTGTGTATTTCAAAAAATGGAATTTACAAAATCTGTGCAAAGAAGTCAAGTGCCAGTAGCTTGTCAGTTATGTGAATTAGATAACAAAATACAATGGAAGTGTAAACAATGTAATTTACTTATGTGCAACAAATGCAAAGACAAAATTCATCCAAAATTCAAAAACGCACAGGACCATGACATTTTCAACATTAAAGATGTTGGAAAAGATCATGGAGTTGAAGAAACTCCTGAATTCAACAACATTAAATGCGATCGACACGCAGGTCAGACATGTTGTCTATTTTGTAGTACCTGCCAAAACCTTGTATGTCCGAATTGTATTTCTAAGGCACACAATGGACACAATTTCCTTGATATTACAGATGCTTATACGAAGAAGAAGGAGAAAATTGGAAAGGTACAAATGCAAGCCGATAAAAAAATACAGAAAATAATTGAAATTGAGAAAGAATTACAGCGAATTGAGACATCTGAAGAATCTAAATACAACAAAGCAAAACAAGCAATATCTTTGCATAAAATGTCTTTGAAAATATCGATCGATTTGCATGCTAATGTACTTGAAAACCAACTAGATGAAAAAAGAAATTCAATACAAAAAGCAATAGGGACGGAGCAAGCTCGAGCAACTGGAATGAAAGAAAACTTGTGCCATCAAAAGCTTCGATGCACACGTAACATAACTGAATCCCAAAATATAGGGAAGGCTTTTGGAGAGATGAATGAGCTTGAAAATACCCTACAACAAGATTTTGAACCGTTTAATATGAAATTCGAATCAACACCGGTGTTTCTTCCACGTCGAATAATAACGATTGGAGCATTGCTGGAAAGCAACTCCGCCAATCAACAAGAGTCGTTCGAAATCCAGTTGAAAGTAAACAGGCAATTCGAAACATCACTAAAACATATTCACAACTTGTACATAGGTAAGAACGCCATAGTTTGGGTAAATGATCGAATACTGGAAAAGCTGCAAAAGGTCGTCCTCAAAGAAAATCACGTAGAAGTTATTTCAAATTTTGATGTAGCTATCAATGACATTGGTGGAGTATACATCGATCTTATAATATCATGTGGGGAGTCGTTCTTACTATTTTTGAATGAGAGAACAAGACAAACGGAAAGATCAAGATACATCATTGCACCACTATTGACAACCGCGGTTTATACAACAGACCAGTATGTGGTTACTGCTGGAATGGCATTCGAGGTTAAAAATTATTCATCTTCTGGACGGCGAGTCGTAGTTAAGTTCAACCACGAAGCGACTATTCGAAAAGACTATGAACTAGATGAAAAGAATAAACCTTTATTTGCATATCCAATGGGTGTAACGTGCACCAGCAATGAAAATATTTTCGTGATGGATTGGCTAACTGAGGACAATGAAGGACAGATAGTGGTCTTAGGAAAAGAAGGGGAAATTGTCACATATTACAAAGGAAACCCGAGTATTAATAGTCCAGGAAAACCTTTTAAACCAACGTCCATAACAAGTTCTCCGGCTGATCTTGTCTTCATAACGGACATGATCAACCAGACACTTCATGTTTTGTCTAGCGATGGTCGGTTACTAACACATATCAACACCTCTACATACGGAATTGTGTATCCTGCTTGTGTTGCATTTTCTGCATCAGGGAAACTTTATGTTGGCTGTGCTAGCAGTGCTGATACCACAGAGAAAGGGAAGCTATATGAATTGACAATATCATGTCAATATATTTATTAATAAGAAGTAATTCATGGAAGCCATAGATTTGTTGGACATTTACACACGGCCAAGGCAATGTGTAAATGTCCAACAAATCTATGGCTTGCATGAATTATTTCGATTCTAATAGAACAAATATGGTAATTTAAAAACTGAAGCGAGGTATAAAGATTGCCGTGTGTATGGCTGTTATATTTTACCCCCTGTAAGATAAAAGCTACAAATTTCAAATAAATCTAAGTCTTGCGTGAATTATTTCTTAAATATCCACTTCAAAAAATGTGGTCAATCCTTATAATTCTGAACCCAAACATTTTTTTTTTGGCTACTATTTACTGTCAAATTCACAGTTGACATGCCGTAACTATAATGAGTGAGCCGCCATGTTGACTTGCTGAAATCCACAAAGGTGCGAATAATGCAACAGAATAGAAAATGAAAAAAACCCCACCTACCTTAAAACTCCATTTCAATGCGATATTATCCGAACTTAGGACGTACACGTAACGGAAAACCTTCAGCTTGAGAGTTTTTATTCGTATGACGTCATGTTTTGACAATACGTTAATGCGGCAAGATGAAATTTCGCGGAATTTTATTTTATTTTTATTTCATACATTTTTTAAGCTCTTGTGCATTAATTATTTTCGTTATACAGTAGAATATGAATAACGGTTCTGTAGTTTCTTTTTTCAATTTCAATTTGAACACAACGAAATCAACATAGTGTTTGCACATAGGTTACGATACATGTGGATTTACGTGAGAGGTAAATAGTAACAGCCATCAATTTGGACATCTCTAAGTCTGCGCTAAGTATAGATATATCGAGAATTTTATCACGCTGTTGTTTACAAAGCGAAAGAAGCACGTCATATTAGAATTAGAAATATATACATGTGTAAAATTTATTTATTTGTTAGATTTACGTTTTAATAATTCTTATATGATTTGAATATTAGGGAGTGGTCCAGAGGGCTTTCGGTAGTGGCTCTTGACGTTATTTATTTTTCGATAGACGACGTTGACCGAACTACTTTCTGTAACCAATGTAAACAAGATGGCGGCGATAATAACACAAACCGGTTCGACGTTAAAAATATCTATTTTCACTTCGCGTTCATCGTTAAATTAAATATTAAACACAAAAAATCATTTGAATGATAATAAGATATTTTTGTAGGTTTTTTTTCAGATAGCAAATTTCATGGAAAAAATTTTATTGCGTTAACCAAAAAATATGTTCATGCGCCAGGCCAATTCAATGACACAAATATACAATTTACCTGTGATAGATGTTACGAGTGGGAAAATTAAATTCCTTATCTCCAATTTTAAAGATTTATAGAATTAAACGCATTTTTAAAGGAATTTATTGGTGTATAAACAGGACCAAGCGGGGGCGTAAAACATGAGTTATAATCATGTTTCACGCCCCCGCTTGTCAGATTCGGGGTATATAAGAATATGCATCTCCTTCCGTCCGTGTATCTGTCCGTCCGTCACATTTATGGTTTCCAGGTGGACACGCTTTTTGAAATTAATTGAAATTCTAATGAAATGTTTTGACTTCTAAAGACAGGCGAAGATCAATTTTGATCATTTTCATTTTTAATGTTCAGTGTGATGGTACTTGATTGTTGGAAAAATTCCCCCAAAAAAAATGATTGGTTAGCGTTTTCTCAAACGGAAAACCCCTTATTCGAAAGGATTTAAATGTTTAATGGAATGTTTTGGACCACTTAAGACAGGTTGATTTTGTTTTTTTTTTGTCGTTTTCACTTTTACTATTCCAAAGTTATGGTACTTGATTGTTGAAAAAAAACTTTTTTGTTTTGTTTCCGGACAATAAATTGAGAACACATTTATCTAATTGATTGAAAAATTAAATGAAATTTGTTTGACAACTTATAACAGATTAACTCTGATTTGCGTCGTTTTAACTTTTACAATTACCGAGTTATGGTTAATTATTGTTGGAAAAAATCAAAAAGTTGTTTTCTGGAAGATAAATGGAGAACGATGTATTGAAATTAATTGAAATTTTGATAGCATGTTTCGAACCACAAAACAGAAGCATCTTTCACAAATTGTGTAACATTCAACTAGAGTTTTACCATTTTATTAAATGAACTTACGTGTTAATTCCTTTCAAAATGGAAATAAAATACGTGCGGTTTGTTTTATTTGTTTGTTTGTACATCAGCAATCAGGTGATAACCTGCCTTGAACTTATCAGAAGAAATATTATTCATGTCTTTACCAGAAAAACTTGAAATGTATTCCTAATATTAACATAGAAATGTTTAAAGGTTTTGATCTCATACGAGATGATATTGAATTTGATCTTAGCACTGAAAATATATACGATTAACCTTTATTTTGTAATCCAAATGTGTTGTATGGTAGACAACTGTTATATGGTATGATTTTATAAATGCTGGATTTTTTCAGGTAAAAGATATATGTGTAGGACTCAAATCTATGGTGGGTTCCAAATCTATGCCAGATTCCTTATCTATGGCAAATGTGACGTTACAAACGTCAAACAAATCAAATCTATGGCAGATTTTTGTTTTCTCTAAATCTATGGCAGATCTTGTAATTGCGTAATTTTCCGGGAACAAGAGTACCATATAAAGCCACAATTGAATAACGCCATATTTGAATTTTCAGCTCGGTATTTTTGTGATTTTACTTTTTACATCGTCGCCGCCGCAAACAATGGCGAAACCCATAAATTTGAACATTCAAGATGAAGGTATTTCCCTCTACAACAATTTGCGGATTGTTTAAAAGAAGATGTGACCTATTATCCGGAAGAGAGTGCTGTACCAGCCTAATCCCGATATGAATAAGCGCACCGCTGTTTTCACTACCGGATAAGAGTTACACGCATAGTAAATATTTTACCATCTACAGCTGGAAAAATTTATAAGGTGAAAGATAAAATTACTGGATACCAATTGGATTTAAATCGTCATCAAATAAAAAAGATGTACTAAGGATGAAATAAATATTATGTATACCGGTACACTTACATAATGGAGAAGACTTCATAAGTATGATTTACTTGTGTCTAATTAATTTTGCTTTAATTCAGCAAATAAAACATGTTTAAACATTAAACTTATATTGTGTGAAAACTCAAACTGTTCATTTTTTTTTTTATTTAAAAAAAATCTGCTTTCTTGTTTGTTAAGGGACTCACTTGTTGGTTTAATAAATGGGTTAAACAGGTACCATGCACAGATTAGAAAATGCTTATTTTACGGGGCACATCATTTCAATCTTGAAGTCTGTATTAAGTATTTGAAGTCTGTATTAAGGTATATGAATTCATCATTTACGAAATTTTTTGGTTGCCATCACGATTTGGTTGACTATTATGGAATGTTTATTTCACATATGTTTAAAGACATTTCCACTTAAGACAAGTCATTGATTGTATATGTACTGCATTGTTTTCCATTTACACAAATCTGCCATAGATTTGGAAATAACAAAAATCGGCCATAGATTAGGAAATGACAAAACTAGCCATAGATTAGGATTATAAAAAATCTGCCATAGATTTGGGATGGCATGATGTCATCTTTACCATAGATTTGGAATCTGCCATAGATCTGGAACCCACCATAGATTTGAATCCTACATATGTAATGAAGTTGTAGAGGGCTTTTAACCAGAAATGGCTATAGTTGAGATGATCCAAAATGTTGCTAATCATTGTGATATAACAATATTGTAAAAAGGATATAATCTTTTCAAATTAATATTGCCTAAAGAATGAACTGAAACTATTCATCAAAATGTTCATAGGAGAAATGTATCTCGTTCTATAAATATTACTGTTTTTTTAAAACAAATTATCAGAGTTATCTATGTGTTCTACAAAAGAATTATATTTATTACTTACTTGTAAACTTTGTCAGTATCCTGTTTGCTAAAAAAGTGGACGGAAGTTTTTGAGATTGAAGATCATGATCTTTTTTAAGTGTGGAACAATGACAATTTTTACTGGAAACCATCTATATAAATAGATTTAGATTTCAAAATAGCACAGCATTGTATTTTTACTGATAGTAAATTGATGACTATGAAACTTATCAATTACAATGTATGTGATGAATGTGAAAAGGAAGTAGAAACTATCACTCATTTATTTTATACATCCCGTCATTGTGGTATGATAAATTTTTGTATTCTTGTCTTTCGTATTGCTAATGTGCTTTGTCTACATGTATATGACTTTTTGTTTTTATACGCCCGTATTATGGTATACAAATGTCGTCTGTCCGTCTGTCCGGCGTAAACATGTCGCACCGTATCCAAATTTCATGAAACTTAACATAGTTGTTTCTTATGATGGTCAAACGATCTATATACTATACCTGTATCTGAAAATAAGATTAAAACTTTTTGAGTTACGGGACTTAGTAACTAAAACAGGAGTGTGTGTTTTTTTCACATGTCGCGCCGTATCTCAAAAAAGATTTATGATTATTGCTCAAAACTTTACACACTTCTTAGTTATATTAATCTTAAGATTTGTATACTTTTTGGTGATGATTCAAAATTTCATTTTTGAGTTATTGAGTATTTTGTAAAAAAAGGGGGAGGGTTTTTCACATGTCGCGCCGTATCTCAAAAAACGATTTATGATTATTGCTTAAGATTTTACACACTTCTCAGTTATATTAATCTAAAGATCTCTATACTTTTTGGTGATGATTTAAAATTTTATTTTTGAGTTATTGAGTATTTTGTAAAAAAAGGGGGAGGGGTTTTTCACATGTCGCGCCGTATCTCAAAAACGATTTATGATTATTGCTTAAAATTTTACACACTTTTTAGTTATACTAATTTAAAGATCTGTATACTTTTTGGTTTTGATTCAAAATTTTATTTTAGAGATATTGAGTTTTTTGTAAAAAAAAAGGGGGGGGGGGGTTCGCATGTTGCGCCGTATGTCAGAAACTATTTATGATTATTGCATAAAAATTCACACACAAGACGACGGGCGTATCATGCGCTCATGGCGCAGCTGTTTATTCTTTGTTGACAAATTTGTTTGTTTTATATTTATTTAGATTATAACAAACACAATGTTGACTGCTGTACCCCTATTTTTGACATTTTTACCCATTATGTCTATTTGTTTTGTTCACACATCGTTGTCAATATAATGGAATTGTATGCGACTGTCATACAAGTGAGAGGTTTAGCTAGCTATAAAACCAGGTTTAATCCACCATTTTTCTACATAAGAAAATGCCTGTACCAAGTCAGGAATATGACAGTTGTTATCCATTCGTTTGATGTGTTTGAGCTTTTGATTTTGTCATTTGCTTAGGGACTTTCCGTTTAGAATTTTCCTCGGAGTTCGGTATTTTTGTTATTTTACTTTTTTAATACGTTTGTGTAACGAAAGTTTTTAGTTTTATTTGATAATGTTGACTCTGATAATATTACAGTAGTGTATGAAGAAATATTCATGTTTGGTTTAATTGGATCTTTCAAAGGTTTAAATGTCAGAGTTTTGTCAATTTTATGTTATCTATATAGCGAGATATTGTATCTTCAGAAGAAGGAATTTACTTAAAAATATAAACAGTAATGTTGATCTTATCAGACTATTTAAATACACTCTAAAACATTATATAACTTACCTGTATGAATATTTGTGTGGTGTAAGATGCATGAGAAATGTTTTTGAAAAACACTTTTTAAAGTACAATATACTTGTGCAAGAGACTGAAGGTGTCAATGCATTCAAATTATGATTATTGTTCTTATTTTATATGGCATTATACTTTTAAGCATTGTTTTGTGAATATTCTTGTGTAATATGTAATATAATTATTGTATATAAATGTTGAATACTTGTGTAAATGTCTCGAATTGAAACAAAGAAAAGATCAAATTTAGGTAAGGTCTGTTTAGATGGTCAGCATTCCACTCCAACGTTTTCATCCTATTTATATAGAATTATACAAACATGCACCAAATAATATCTGAGGATGAACAGAATTTTTTTTATACATATACACTGCCTTTGAACTAAGGCAAATTAATAGATTACAACATTTTATAAGAGAATAGAGAATAGAAAAGGGGAATGTGACAAAGAGACAACAACCCGAACAAAGAGGGGAAAACGCAGCGAGAATATCCCGCACCCGGAGAAAAGCTTCAGCGGGCCCCTACACACAGTATGCTGTTACATAAACAAAATCATGATATCTCAGTTGATGTGGGCGTGGTTATCTGGGTTCAGATGATTGTTTACGGTTTAATTGATCTAAGCTATTGGTTTGATCTTGTTTGGCTGTCTGTTTTAGGTCAGACAAAAAAATGTCAGTCGTAGCTATAGATAAATGTAAATATTATATTAACATGAAAAACATCAAAAATACCAGCTGCTTATAAATTTGTATGCCAGACTCGAGTTTCGTCTACACAAGACTCAACAGTGACGCTCGTATAAAAAAGAAGCCATGCAAATAAAGTACGAAGTTGAGGGCAAAAATCTTTGTTATCATGCAGTTGCGACCAGGAGCATTCCATGAAAGAGGGGAACTAGCTTTATGTTGAACTGTTTGCTTAGGATTTATACAGCAAGCTATTATAACATAGACATCTAGAGGTCACAGTACAACCTTGAAATGATATACTAGTAGCAATATTTAAGTCGGGCCGATTTTAGAGAGAAATACACTTTTTATGTGATTGAAATTCAGCACAAAGGACCTTATGAAATACTCGGAATCCTTAACCAAGTTTTGTCCTTTTACATCGCAATGACCGTGAGGGCATTCCGATGTATTGTTGCCACAGAGATTTCTACTTATGTAACTTTCGTTTTTGACTGGTAACCGATCTATAAATACGCGGACATTATCGAGTGCAAAATAACATTCCTTATCGCTTGTTTAGTCTCCCAAACGAAGTTTGGGAAGACTTATTGGTTTTGCTCAGTTCTTCTTCTTCTTCTTCTTCTTCTTCTTCTTCTTCTTCTTCTTCTTCTTCTTCTTCTTCTTCTTCTTCTTCTTCTTCTTCCGCCGCTTTTAAATTTGAACTTGTCCGCACCCGTTCTCCAAAACCGCTTGTCAGATTAACTTAGGGTTTCACAATATGCTAGACTAACATGTCTAGTGGTGCAATCAGGGTTTTGTTTGTGCATTAGGGTTTATAAAGGGGTACTTTGAGGGGCAAAAAGAAAGGAAGGTTTTACTATAGAACCCTATGGGATTTAATTTTTTAAAATTTTCAAATGATTATAAATTGAAAACCGTTTTTGATAGACACAATCTTTTTAATTGAAAATTTTCTAAATAAAAAAGCGCATTAAATGAAATACAGGATTAGTCCCCAGGGGTCACCACCACCACCCCCTGCCATTTAAGAAAGTTCTAATATCTTGTAAATTGTCATGATCCCCACCCCTAAACCGTATATATTCTGGTTTGTCATGCTAAGATGGTTTGAATGATATACAGGGTTAGTCCCCAGGGGTCATCCCAACCCCCTGCCATTTGAGAAAGTTCTAATATCTTGTAAATGGTTGAGATCCCCACCCCTAAACCATATATATTCTGGTTTGTCATGCTATGATGGTTTGAATGATATACAGGGTTAGTCACCCAGGGGTCATCCCGACCCCCTGCCATTTGAGAAATGGTCGAGATCCCCACCCCTAAACCATATATATTCTGGTTTGTCATGCTAAGATGGTTTGAATGATATACAGGGTTAGTCCCCAGGGGTCATCCCGACCCCCTGCCATTTGAGAAAGTTCTAATATCTTGTAAATGGTCGAGATCCCCACCCCTAAACCATATATATTCTGGTTTGTCATGATAAAGCACATCAAATGAAATATAGGGTTAGTCCCCAGGGGTCACCCCACCCCCTGCCATTTAAGAAAGTTCTAATATCTTGTAACTGGTCAAGATCCCCACCCCTAAACCATATATATTCTGGTTTGTCATGCTATGATGGTTTGAATGATATACAGGGTTAGTCCCCAGGGGTCATCCCGACCCCCTGCCATTTGAGAAAGTTCTAATATCTTGTAAATGGTCGAGATTCCCTCCCCTAAACCATATATATTCTGGTTTGTCATGATAAAGCACATCAAATGAAATACAGGGGTCACCCCCACCCCCTGCCATTTAAGAAAGTTCTAATATCTTGTAAGTGGTCAAGATCCCCACCCCTAAACCATATATATTCTGGTTTGTCATGCGAAGATTGTTTGAATGATATACAGGGTTAGTCCACAGGGGTCACCCCCACCCCCTGGTATTTAAGAAAGTTCTAATATGTTGTAAGTGGTCAAGATCCCCACCCCTAAACCATATTTATTCTGGTTTGTCATACCAAGATGGTTTGAATGATATACAGTGTTAGTCCCCAGGGGTCATCCCGACCCCCTGCCATTAGAGAAAATTCTAATATCTTGGAAATGGTCGAGATCCACACCCCTAAACCATATATATTCCTGTTCATCATGTCTCGAACATTTGAATGACGTATACGGTCAGTCCCCAGGGGTTCCCCCACCCCCAATGTTCTAATATCTTGTAAATGGTCGAGATCCCCACCCCTAAACCATATATATTCCTGTTCGTCGTGTCTCGAACATTTGAATGATGTATAGGATCAGTCCCCAGGGGTTCCCCCCACCCCCAATGTTCTAGTATCTTGTAAATGGTCGAGATCCCCACCCCTAAACCATATATATTCTGGTTTGTCGTGCCAAGATGATTTGAATGATATCCAGAGTTAGTCCCCAGGCATCAATAATACATATAACTTTACTGGACCAAACCAATTTTCACTGGACTGTCCAATGTCAGGCGACACTGGGAATTACGAATTATGGGAGCTTCGTTTGGGAGACTTCGTAACAGCATCCTGTTACAATCATTTCTTGTTATAAATTCATTTCTTCGATGAATACTCATAAAAATATCTTTTTTTAGAACATGAATTAATAATATGAAAATGTTTTGTCGTTAGAAATATATATATAAGTAAAAAATCATAAATATCTATGCACACGTACAGAAAATTTGTGTTAACGCATGCGGAAGAATATCTCAAGAACGTTTTGCGGGAAAATATGAATGCCTACTCAAATCCAATCTATTAGAAAAATCGAATTATTACAGAAGAATGTCCACCATGCACTTGCACTGCACTATTATTAGAATAGAAGAATAGAATGATATACAAATGGATGAAAATTATATATACATGTAACTGTTATATACAAATATTAATATACTAGTAATATATAACAACAAACCAGAGTATACTGATTTGTATCACTACAATATAATAGTTCCCGCGAGGTTGAATTCCCTGTCATTTATTCATCATCCATGCACGAACTTGTCTCAGAAAAAAAAATATCTCTGCACATTAACCTCACTTTCAGGTATAGAGATGTGATTTTTTTCTGATACAAGTGCTTGTGACCATCCACAAGAACTTGCGGTCATCCGATGTTCAGTACTTCAGTACTTTGATTGTGGTTTCTTTTGTTTATTTCAATTTTTAAACGTTTTTAGTTTCGGATACCTTATTACATCGGCATTGAGAGTTGCAGAGAACAATGGATGAAGCATTCCTGATGAAGGTAAATCCAGAAAAGCGCTTGGGACGCATATAGTTTAAAACATGTTGTTTTCATTTTTTCAACATTGAAAAATGACTGGAGGATACAAATATTGTCACTTTCGTCTTCTTCCGACCGGCAGTAAAACCCAAGGTGGAGAGTCCGTTTGGCTGTGCGGCCACGTCTGGTCATAATAGGGACGTTAAAGCCGATGCTTCGTTTAAAGAGAGTGCCACGCTCTTACTATAGTATTCATAATAGTGATGTAGCATGTAGTTTTAAATCAAAATGCATAGTGTATGAGCAACCTATCGTAATATCACAATGCTATAACATCGCACCATCTCAGCTCGACATTTATTTACGAGTCAGTATCAAAATGTAAGCTCTTCATTTTATTTGTTATAACAATCTAAGTGGTCGACTGAACATTATCCATTTGCAAGTTAACATCATGTAACATGTAATGTCAACATCACACCATGTGGTAAAATTTAAAACGTTTAGTTGGCATATCACCATAACCTCGCGACTTATCATTATACCATCACTGACAACTAAATCACTTGCATTTGCAAATCTTCTTAACACAGATTCAACTTAGCATATTGTAATTTAAAGTTACCGTAATTTTTTTATTGTTGACTCTTCTCATCATGACACTGTCTTAACTTAACATTGAAAGGTCCACTGTAAATCTCTAATATATAATCTTTATTGCAAAATTACACCCATAAGGGTCAAGCAATACAAACAATTACACATTTTAAATACAATGCAATACAATGTAATACAATACAATATAATAGAACATATTTTAAGAGTTCAATTTTAAATTTATGTAAAAAACACAATCATAAGCTTGTCTGACATGGGTCTGACCCCCTCAGTTCTAAAGACTGTTTAATAAAGACTCCAATATGACAAACACGTTCAGGGATGGGGTTTAGAATGTGTTTTAGTTTATTAAATGGATCAAGATGTTGAAATAATGGTACATAGTCTTTTAGATAAGCAAAAAAATTGGAACGCAATGATATGTTAATGTCACAATACAAAAAGAAATGGAATTCGTCATCTAGGACTCCACATTTTTTACATAATCTTTGTGCTCTTGGAATGTTTCTGTACCTTCCCAATTCAATGCCTAGGGAATGATCACTGAGTCTAAATTTTGAGAGAAACTGCCTATGTATAAAATTATTGCAACTTAAATATTCCTCAGACTGACAATTAGTTTTTAATTTCCCATAGAGACAAA